TTTGAGTAAAACAAACATTGTAATCAATGGGCCGGGCCATAGGCCCGACTCCGACTAGTATATAACTAACCATCATCATAGCGATAGCACCTTGGTAAGAACCTGTAGTAGAAACTGGGTTTCTACATAATTACCATGATCAGTTTTAGTATTTATTAAACATACTGTACAGTCTGTATGTCTCTGTTTATAACATTTAAATAATTACCATGATCAGTTTTACTATTTATTAAACATATTGTACAAACTACCATACACTATGTATCTGTTTATTACATTTAAATAATAACATTTAAAGTATTGAATTATTTTTAAATATTATTAAAACATTTTATACGTTTAAACAAATATAATATCGTCACTACAATGTAATGTTAAGACATTCTACGAATACCCTACGGCTGTTTTGGGTGGCCTTGAATTTGGACGCTTTCCTAGTGAACCGTTTCTGCCTGAGGCTATACACTACCGTCTCTTCATTAGATGTGCACAGATCTCTACTGCCCATGCGCGTGCTTATATCGGTGCTCCTCTACTAATATTCACAATAGACTTAACACTTATGCTAATTATAATCATAATTTTGCAAATAATGAAAAATTGTAAAAACATTTTATATCACTTAACAGACAGATTATTACACTAGATTATTATACTACTTATCTTAAGTAAAATTAACGTAATTTAATTAAAACCAAAAAATCTTTAATGAAATGTTATATTATAATAATAATTCAATTAGAGTTAAAAACACAACTACTTATTGAACTGATTGTATATAAGAGTATTAATTAAAAAATGAATTTTATATAATTATAATTAAGTATATAGTTAAATTACAATTTATTGTTTCACAACATTAATACCCGGTTGCTATATACTGTATAAACAACACAAAACACAACCAATATATCAATATACATAAATCTATGTAAAAATGGTTACATTAATTTAGTCGGCAGCGATAAAGTTGCCGGTGTTGCTCGAGTTGCCGGTGTTGCTCGAGTTGCCGGTGTTGGTTGAGTGGCCGGTGTTGGTTGAGTGGCCGGTGTTGGTTGAGTGGCCGGTGTTGGTTGAGTTGCCGGTGTTGGTTGAGTGGCCGGTGTTGGTTGAGTTGCCGGTGTTGGTTGAGTGGCCGGTGTTGGTTGAGTTGCCGGTGTCGGTAGAGTTGCCGGTGTCAGTAGAGTAGCCATTGTTAGTATTATAACCACTGTCGGTAGTGTTGCCATCGGGGAGTTTAACATCGAGAATCTCTCTGAGAATAGGACCTAGGTCTTTGGGGTTGGTGAGATTGTATTGTATTATATTATATCAATCAATGCGTTCATCAGATTCAGGAACTTTAAATGCGACTTGTTTTCCGACTTGTATTTTAATATCAGATAGAGTTGAAGTAAATACATGCATAACCCTGTATATTCTGATCCAGTCCAATGTGTAATGTATGGGGAAACAGAACAACATGATGATCAGATTTGTGATAATTTAGTTTATCATGTAACATTATTGACGCCCACTTAATACACTCCTAATTATATAATTAAGTTGTGTCGATTGGGATCGAACAGTAGGATCACTGTTAACTGCGATATGAATTTAAACGTGGTTAAAAAATGCGTGATTATTAAATTAATTAATTGATCAAGATAGTTATGTATTTATTACCAAATCCAGAATAATGGGATCGGAGTCCCATTCGTCACCAATTTTAGCAAAACCAGCGCTGAATCCCTGCTTTAGTTGTCGAGATCTCAATTGATCCAATTTTGAGAGAATCCATTTGTTCTGCTCCTGAAGAATATAAAGAGTGGTTTTGCCGCACTTAAGATCCGTATTGAACAGTGATATACGTGTGTAAAATACAATATCAAACGTATATTCACAATAGACTTAACACTTATTGCTAATTATAATCATAATTTTGCAAATAATGAACAATTGTGAAAAATATTTTATATCAATTAACCAACAAATTATTATTCTAAATAAAATTAATGCAATTTAATTAAAACCAAAAATCTTTAATGAAATATTGTATTATAATAATAATTATATTAGAATTAAAAACAATTGTCATAAACACAACTACTTATTGAACTGATTGTATATAAGAGTATTAATTAAAAAATGAATTTTATATAATTATAATTAATTATATAATTAAAATACAATGTCTTGTTTTACAACATTAATACCCGTTCGCTATAAACATACAAAAACAACACAAAACACAACCAATATATATGAATCTATGTAAAAATGGTTACATTAATTTAGTCGATAGTGATAGGGTTGCCACTGTCGGTAGAGTAGCCATTGTCTGTATTATAGCCACTGTCGGTAGTGTTGCCATCGGGGAGTTTAACATCGAGAATCTCCCTGAGAATAGGACCTAGGTCTTTTGGGTCGGTGAGATAGCACCGGCGGGTAAACACTTTTCCCACTGTATTGATATCAATCAAGGCGTTCATCAGATTCAGGAACTTTGATCTCGACTTGTTTTCCGACTTGTATTTCAATATCAGATAGCGTTGAAGTAAATACATGTATATATTCTGATGCAGTCTAATGTGTCGATGTATGGGGAGACAGAAAAAAAACACGATGATAAGATTTGTGATAATTTAGTTTATCATGTAACATTATTGACGCTCACTTAATACACTCCTTATTGATTAAGTTGGGTCGGTTGGGATCGAACAGTAGGATCACTGTTAACTGCGATATGGAATTCAAACGTGGTTGAAAAGTGCATGATTATTATATTCATTAATTGTATCAAGATGGTTATGTATTTATTACCAAATCCAGAATAATCGGATCGGAGTCCCATTCGTCGCCAATTTTGGCAAAACCAGCGCTGAATCCCTGCTTTAGTTGTCGAGATCTCAATTGATCCAACTTCGAGAGAATCCATTTGTTTTGCTCCTGAAGAATATAAAGAGTGGTTTTGCCTATCCTTAAGATCCGTATTGAACAGTGATATATGTGTGTAAAATACTGTGTTTTTTAAATCTATCTAGCAAATTATGCCTGGCTAAGTAGTTAAACTTCCTATCTAGTTTTAGAATTCATTCTAGAAACATTCATTTATAAATTAGTTTTAATGAACTACTAAACTGAATTATTTTGTTATATGTAATTTAAATAATGCATTGTTCAGGTGCAACATTAGCTCTCATTATCTAAATAAATGACATTGCTCACTCGCTGTTAATGTATATATTTAATAAATAGATTTTTCAACAATTTTTGTAACTAAAACTACCTTTTTTAGGTAAAAACAAAACACAATGTATTTTAGCAATCAATATAAATAAAAATAATAATTCCTTACACAGATTAACATGCACAAATATATTTATGCAATATAATTACCATAAATATGGTCCAATGGCGAGCGCCGAAATTATAAAACTGTATCAGGCGCATACAAATGATCTCGATCACGCCATACTTAATCAGGGCTATGCGATCGTTGTCGCACAGGCAGCCAAACTCGGTCACATTCTGGGCCACCGTCACTATGCGCCTGATCTCGGTGTCCAGCTTTCTGACCATGGCCACTTTCAAATTAACCGTGTCAGTTATCTGTGGCTGATTGGGCACAGTTGGTTCCCGGATGAAATTGATGGCGTTAAATAGCTCGACGAGCTTGGTACATTCGGCGTCGTTTAGGCCCGATGTGTATTCGGTCACGTGTCTGGTCATAGTGACCACGTACTCGTGAAAGTCCAGCAACTGATCCGCGCTGTATGTGTGATAGTAGTGGTTGTCCGGCAAATAGCGGTCAGTTGTCTTCAGGTCGGCTGTTATCTCCACTAATGACTGCTTTGTGGCGACGAGTGAGAGATCACTGGCGGCAGCCGTTGACGGATCAGCTGCTGGTGACTGACTCTCAGACTCTTCGCCACCACTACTACTACTAGTGCTGGTCTTCTCGACCAACGACTTCTTGCGCTGATTTTGTTTGGATTTTTTGATCTTATTGTACAATATCTTGGCCTTAATCACACCCAACTGTTCCTCATTTAAGATCCATTCCTATAAGGTATTAGTGATTAACATTATTGTAAAATACATGATGAATAGGCTTTGAGTTTTTGATCAAGGTATTTTTTGTTAGTTACCTTTTTCATGCCAATAGTGAAACACTTATCTAAACGACATTTTTGACAAAACTTTCGCGTATTTTTGTCGATCCGACAGTTGTTATCGAAAGCGCATTCAAAACCCTGTGATGTTTTGATGTTGATATAAATTATGGTAAAATGTGTTATTAATTAATACAAATAAATGCAATGAATGTTTGAATTACTTTATTCTTGAGTGCATTCCTCCTGAAGAATGCTTTACATGACTGACACGATATGACACCAAAATTGAAGGCTATATAATATAATTACATTTATAATTACATTACGTGTATGTTTTAGATAATTAAAATTAGTTTATCTAGTTTATATTTATCAATTTCGCATTATTTGATAACTAAATTAATGTTGACTTAAAAATATAAACATATATTTTACCAAATGCTTTGTCACCGCAGATAAGGCACAGCTTTATTGGCCGTTTAGATCCCGTTCCCATAGATTTAGCTTGTTGATTAATTCACTGGATGTTTGAATATGGTGGAATTTAATGAAATCACTTGAAATGTTGGGCACTTTAATGTAAATACTAGCGACAATTCAGACAAATATAAATGTTTGCCAATTTGTGTTTCACAGTATATAATATGTATTGCGTTATAAAGTCATAAAAAACACCAACATTTATGATTGTCTGGTGAGCTTTAAATAACCATAATTCATGAGTTACCTAGGGCAGATTGTACTGGCACAAGTCATATGCTCTCAAAATAGATATTAACTATATTAACTAGATTGCACAGCGATATAATTAATATATTTGAATTGAAATATGGTATTTTGTATGAAGCAATTGCACTAAACAAACCCTAACGACTAAATTAATTACCACTCAATTGTACGGACAGTATATCAATGTTTAATGAATGATAGCTTCAATTCCTAGAGCCTTATCTGATATTTCCATTAGATTTCAAAATAGTTTTTCAAAGTTATCATAAGTTTTTATTATTTTATAAACTTGTTATATTAATATTAAATGTTATACAAAAAGTACGTATAGTTCAGTTTATTTAGTGAAAAGTTTAATATTTAAAACATGATTGATTAAAAGGAATAGTTTTGCCATCTTACCTCCTTATATATTTGTAATTTATTAAGGTTATTAAGAATGATATTTAGTAGTTAGCTTAAGCATATGCACTACTTATGTATTGTTATTAACAATTTGTTACAGCGTTAATAATTATTAGAATTAAATAATAATAATTATTATTATTCTTATTAATAATAATTAGACTATGTATAATTCAAACATGATTAAGAATTAAATTATTACAATAAATATAATAAAATGATGGTTATTTTTTTTATCAAACATCATATCAGACTAAATATTTATATTTAATTTAATGCTATTTATAAAAAGTTGAAATGTTATACCACTTGGAAACATGTTAAATAAACATAAAAATTAAGTGTTTAACAAGAAAAAGCATATTATGCAAAGATGTTTGTAATTAAACTAGTTCATATGCTTAGATCTAAAATTAAACTGCAACCATATGTTTTTACAAGAGATCACTTTCAATAAATCTTTGTAACTTGATAAATTGTTAAGTGCTATCAAACTTAATAAAAAGTTTAGATCAAAAATACTTATACACAAATACTTAACTTCAATGAACAATTTCATTGTAATATATTTTATATATTGTATTAATTATCAAAACATATTATCTATCAGTGATTTATGGGATATAAACATAACTATAATACACGTCAACGACATATACTCGGCGTACGGCGGGGTCGGCACCGATAACACGGCGTGTGATCTCAACACCCGTCCGGACCAATGTCTGGGAGGGGTCGCCCGAATGGCAACCATGATCAAAAACCAACCAAATAGTATCAAGATCAATACTGGCAACAATTTGGCCGGCCATTGGCACAGACANCACGGCGTGTGATCTCAACACCCGTCCGGACCAATGTCTGGGAGGGGTCGCCCGAATGGCAACCATGATCAAAAACCAACCAAATAGTATCAAGATCAATACTGGCAACAATTTGGCCGGCCATTGGCACAGACACCTCGGCCCGGGAGTAGTGACAGACTTTCAGCGAGTACTCGAGTTTGATGTGATTAATATGGGATCAGCCGACTATGGTATTTATGATGAACCCAGCGATGATTCACCAGGTTATCACAGGCAATACTGGGCCAATATGACCCGGTACGTTACGGAACTGTCACATTCGAGCAGGCTCATTTCATGCAATGTGGACATTAGTGGTAAATATGGCGGCGATTTTATTAGTAACATCAGGCGCTCGACAATCATATCAGTGCCATATGGGCCTAAAATTGGTTTCATCGGGTTCATTGGCGACCATCATGATTTTGTGTGGCCTCGTAATCATGCAAACAGTTGGTCTGTATATAACGAGTTGGATATTACGGATCCGATCCAGTGTTTGCGGTCAGAGGCCGATTGGCTGAGACGACGAGGCGTTAAGATTATTGTAGCCGTGGGTACTGGCGATGAGTCGCTGTTTAGGCGTATTGCCGCTAATGTCCCCCATTTGGACATTATTATCGGTGGTTATGGTTATAGTAAATACCCTTCACTATTGCTGCCGAGAGTGGATACCGATTATCCCGATTTTGTGGCCAATAGTAGCCAATGGCCGGGCCCTACAGTTATAGCCACTGCCGATTCCTATGGCAAAAGTATTGGTAAACTTAACCTCACATTTAATGAGTACGGTGTGATCAAGCGGGTTAGCGGTGAACTAGTTCAATTAGACAGCAAAATTGACCCTGATCGTGAGGCTGAACGGTTGGTCAATGAATATCAACAAAAACTAATTATCG